TCAGGTCAGGTCAAGTCAATTACCCGATCCAACTCAACCTATTCAGAGCTCTAAAAGAGAATGTAAACTGCTTTGTATATTATTATATTATTAATAAAGTTTAATTTACAATAAAATTTTTTATTTATATTTATATCATGTGAAATAATAAATATTTAATAAATATATTTAAATTTTATTAGAGAAAAGAAAAAAAATTATTTCAAATTATTTGCATGTATTGAATTAAGAACATGCTGATAATTATGCTAGAGTTGCTCCACTGATTTGCTTAACTCTTGAATTTTAATTTGATCTTCTTGGCGACCTGTTTTTTGGAGTATACGTAATTCTTCTTTAAGTTGTCGATTTGAAAATTAAATCAAATACAAATTCAAATTTATATTTGATTTAATTTGATTAAATTTAAATTAAAGAATAATTTATTTGATCAAATTCAAATTAATAATTCAATTTGATCAAATTTAAATCAAGTATTTAAATATTTGATTTGATTTGAATTAATAGTAAAGTTATCTCTAAAGCTTCAGTAGTAGTTTTTACTAAGAAACTATATTAAAAAGTAAAAATGCCTCTGTGATTTTAGAAATGCCTTTTTTACTAAAAAAACTATAGTAAAAAATAAAAAATGCCTCTGTGACTTTAGAATGCCTTTTTTACTAAGAAAACTATAGTGAAAAGTATCTCTATGACTTTAAAAATGGCTTTTTTATTAAGAAAACCATAGCAAAAAGCACTTTCATGACTTCAGAAATGCTTTTTTACTAAGAAAAATATAGTAAAAATGATTTTGTAGTTTAGAAGACATTATTTTACTAGAAAAATATAGTAAAAATACCACTGTAATTTCAAAGATATTATTTTACTAAGAAACATAGCAAAAATTATTTCTGCACTTCTAAAACATTATTTTATTAAGAAAACATAGTAAAAAAATACATCTGTAACTTCAGAGACATTTTTTATTAATAAAGTAATTCTAAAGTTACAATAGCTGTTATTACTAAGTTTTCTTAATAAAATTAAAATTGCAAAGTTATTTTATTAAGTTATTTTAGTAAAACTGAAGTCACAAAGTTATTTTACTAAGTTTTAATGATAAAATTTCACTTGTTACTAAACTTACTTTGTAAAAGCTATTTTTGAAATTTTTTAGTGTAATTACTAATAATTTTTTAATTAAAATTTTAGAATAACTTTATTTTAATATATCATTGTAAAAATTAAAAAAATTTTTTATATTTGATTTGATTTGATTTGACCAAATATTTGAATTAAATTTGATTTGATTCAATTCAATTTAAAAAGATCAAATCAAATCAAATTGCTTAAATATTTGATTTGATTTGATTTTAAGGAATCCTAATAATAATAATAAATTACTAAATTATAGAAATATTTGAAATTAGTTTTTTTTATTTTTTTTTGTATTGAATTTCTATATATATCAAATAAACTGAATTTTATATTTAAATAAAATATTTTGATTAAGTTATTTACTTTTTAAATACAATACATTTTTTTTAAAAAAAATAAAAACTTAAGTGTTTTGTATTCAAGATATAATATATTTTTTGCTTTCAAAAATGCCAGAAGAGTATAATACTCAGGAATATTTTAATCAACTGTTTATAGTAAATTTTCAATTTGAATAAGTCAGAATTTAGGTTGAATTTTTGAAAAACAGAAAGTCGAATGAGTAATATTGCAAAAATATTTTATTATAAAGGTATAATAAGTAAGGCTAGTTATATGAATAATTTTGCAAGGATATTTTATCAAAAAACTAAATTTTCAAGTTGAATGAGTTAGAATTTAGGTTAAATTTTTAAAAAATAGAAAATCAAATGAGCAATATTACAAGAATATTTTATTGTAAAAATATATTAAAATTGAATGAATAAGAATAGGTTGATTTGAGATATATATAAGTACTAATTTTTCAATTGACTAAATAGCAATTCCTTAAACATTTTCTTATTTTTTAAAAAAATCACTTAATTTTTTTTAAAAAAAATAATTATTTAATATTTTCATACATAATTTCTTGCATACATATATAATTAATTAATAAATTATATAAATTTGATTTTTGCATTTATCAAATCTCTATTAATCAACTTTTACCTTTTCTATAATAGTATGAAAAGAAAATAACCAAATAAACAATCAAAAAAATAAGCATAATAAGCGTAATAAACATAACAATATATCAAGTAGAACAATCATAACAATTGAAATAAGCAAAATAAAATCTGATAAGAAGCTAAAAGTCACAGAACATAAGTTAATTTTTATCATATTATATATTTAATACTTATTTAAATTTACAAATTATAAATCAAGTAAATATTGATGATTTGCAAAAATTATATGATGTTAACGTTAAAAATTAACCTTACTATACTGATTATTAATGACCAATAGAATGATAATGTAATAAGCCTGACAAATATTGTATCAAATGATTTGCAAAATTCTGGATTTCCCTAATCTATATGATTTTTAGGATTTTTAGGATTTACTGGATTTACATGATCATCATAATTCATTAAATTTTTCTAATTTTCAGTATTTTCATTAATTTAGTTATTATCATAATTTTAATTATTTTTATTATTATTATTATTTTTATTATAATATAGGAGCGTTTTCAGTAAAATCACATTACAGATCATATGATTTACTATGCCTCATGATTTAATTTTACTGAAAACGTTTCTATATAACTATTATTTTTATTATTATTATTATTATTATTATATTAGCACTTGTAATTACAAATTTAGTTAATTTATAATGTAGCAACTAGTTAACCATAGCAAATTAATTTTGTATAAATATAATAGCTTTTTACTTAAATTGTAAATTAATTCTCTTGTAAGTTCTAAAATATTTATGAGTTTTAAGTAATAAATAAAAGAATCAACTTTGAAAAATAATTACTTTTCTCTTTTATGTGCCTATTATCTAAGATTTGATCATGAATCACTACACTAACTTGCTTTTGAGTTTGTCACTTAGAATAAACAAATTCTTTATGTTTTTCCTTAAGTCTCTAAACCTTTAAGTTCGTAAAGTAACGCAATGTAATTCTAAGGCATTCTGAATACCTGTAGAATGTAAAATTCCTTAAGATTGTAAATTCTGATGACAAGGAATTTACTTGCTGCAGCAAAGTAACTTAGTGAAACATGTACGATAGAAAGAGAATTATTTCTAGTAACAATGGTAATATTTAGTCGATTATAACAGCAATTTTTTCTTTTCTTTTTTTTAATAATTTGCTTATTTTTTTGGTATTTTTAAATTGAAATATTTTTTAGTATTTTCTATTTGCTTTTGTTATATTTTGAATATAATAAATAAAATTAATAAAAAAAATATTATTTTTCAAAATTGTAAAATAATAAATATAATTTACAAAATAAATTTTTGGCTAAAAATCAGATGGAAGATTGATGGAAGATTGATGATTGATTGATATTTCTGATTGACTCATATTGTGTCAATCAGAATTAATCAATAAATCATCTATTATTCATTCATCAATCATCTGTTTTTAGCCAATTTGTATTCTATTTTAACATTTATCCCTTAGACTTTATAGTAAGCAAATTTACTTGCAAAATTAAAAAAAATATTAATTTCTTTATAAGATGTTAAATATTAATTTTAGTAATATTATTACTATATAAAAAATATAATTTAATGTATTTTTTATCAACTTATTAACAAAGATTTTAAATTATTTAAAAGGTTTTTAATTTTAAAATTAAGTTTAAAAAATTTATTATAAAAAATTCTTTAAAAATTTATATGTTAACATATTAATTGAATCATTTTATTATTAATTAAAGTCATAAAATTTTTTAATAAATTATAAAAATTATAATAATAAAAGTTTTTCTTTATAAAAAATTTTATAATATTCTTTTATGATTAATATAATTAAATTTAAATTCTAAAAAGTTTATCATAGATTAATCATAAAATTTTTTAAAATAAATTTTTCTAAAAATTACAAATTTTTGGCTTCTAAGTAGTATTAAATTTTTTATTATATAATTAAAAGATAAAACTTATTATAATATATTATATATATATATAATTAATTTAAAAAAAAATTCTTAAAAATATTAATTATTTATAAAAGAAAATCAGAAGAGAATTTATAGTAAATAAGCAGATAAATTTGCTTGTGAAACCCTACAATCTAAGGGATAATTTGATAAATTTATATAAAAAACTTATATTAATTTATACTTATTATTATATTTTTTTTATATATATAAAAGATTTTAAATATAAAATTTTTTTTTTATTTAATTATATTATAATTCAATAATTTTTTTTTATCTTTTTATAACTTTAGTTTTTTAAGTTTAATTATAATTTTTATTAATTATTAAAAATTTAACAAATTTGATATTAATTTATAATTATTTTATTTTATCTTTATTTAATCAAAAATCTGATCATATAACTTAATCAATACTATTATTATAATATACTATTCTAATGTATTACAATTTTGATATTATTAGCTATTTATTATTAATTTTAATTATTATATTATCAAATCAAAAAAAAAAAACTAAAACTATTGCATTTTTTTGCTTTATTTAATAATAATTTATATAATTAAATAATTGCATAATAATAATCAATGAAACTGATATTTTTTATTGTATTGTTAACGTGACATAAAACAAATTTTTTGACGGAGGGGTCTCAGAGAGGCATTTTGCTAGTCCATTAGTAGGATAAAAATGAGGGTCCATGTGTTTGTTGTCAATCGATAAATCAAATCAAAACTTTTTGTCAAAAACTTTTTGTTAACAAGCTTTTTTTATAATGCCAACTGAAAGATCTCGAAGGTACGAATGCTAATTTTTATCTGCTTAAGTTATAATTTAACACGAGTATTTTCCTTTAGGTCCTATGCTGATACTGCTTCAAGCTCTAGGAGGAATCGTTCCCGATCACCTCATTTGGTTGAACGTCGTAGAGACGATTCTTATCATAGACATAGATATGGAAGAGAATATGATAGAGAAAGTCGAAAGAATGAATATAGTGAACCTCCACGTCGGAGCTCGCCAAGTCATGACAAGCCACGATATGAAGTTCGGAACAGTGCTAATGATTCAAAAAATCAAATCTCCGATAAAATAACGAACAATAAAGATCCAACTAAGGATTTGAACGGGACGGCAAAACCAAAAGTTCCGATATCTTTGGAAGAATTATTGCAGAAAAGAGAATCCGAGAAACAAGTTAATGAGAGGGTAAGTGAGCTATTCTCTATTTTTTTTATTAAAGATTTTCGTAATAAAGATAATCATTAAAAATCACTTCTCCTATAGTATACCAAAATTCACATATGGGGAAGTGCATTAGTACGATTCATATTAAAACTTTACATTATCATATTTAGCCTAAATTCTTATCAAAAGAAGAACGGGCAAAAATAGCATTAGAAAAACGGCAAAAAGAGGTTGAAGAACAACGTCGTAAACAAGAAGAAGAAAGGCGACAACAAGAAGAATTTCAAAGACGTGCAATGGAAGAAGCTCGTCAAAATGGTAACTATTCAAAATAATTATTCCCATTTGTTATTAATCATGGTTGTAACAAATAAGTTTTTGTTGAGAAGGCTATGGTCGAGATCGACGAGATTATTATGATCGATATGATCGCGATAGATATGACCGTTATGATCGTGAAAGACCAAGAGGTAAAGAGAGAGAAATTGAAAAACGCCCTACCGATAAATCGGATAAATCAGATGTTAACTCGGAAGCAGAAAAATTAGATGATAAGGAATTACAAGCTATTAGGGTATGTCATATTTTGAATTCTTTTTTTAAAGAATATTTTTTAATAAGAACGAATAACGGATTACGTTTTTCATTTAGGAACGATATATGGGAGGTGAACGTAAAAAACGTAAAATACGTAAAATGAATGAAAAGAAATTTGTTTTTGATTGGGATGCTGGAGAAGACACCTCTCAAGATTTTAATCCGCTGTATGCAAATAAGCATAATGCCCAAATGTTTGGTCGTGGACATTTCGCTGGTATCGATATCAAAGAACAAAAGCGAGATCGTGCTCAATTTTATAACCAGCTTCTAGAGGAAAGAAGAACTCTTGATCAGAAAGATCGCGCCGAGTAATTATGAATTTTTTATTTTTTATTTATATATATATATGATTAGTTACATATTACCAAATACATTTCAGAGAAAGAATGGAAATCGATAGACGTAAAGAGTTGAAAACAATGTGGGACGACCGTCACTGGTCGGAAAAACCATTAACCGAGATGAAGGAAAGAGACTGGCGTATCTTTAAGGAAGATTTCAATATTACCACCAAAGGTATGTACTATATAATTACATATTATAACCATTTTGAACCACCAATTAATGATATTAACATTTATCAGGTGGTAGTATTCCAAATCCCATACGATCCTGGGTCGAATCTGGTTTATCAGAACGTATACTTAACCTTATTGAAAGTATCGGGTATAAAGAACCTACACCTATCCAACGACAAGCTATACCTATTGGTTTGCAAAATAGAGATATTATTGGAATTGCTGAAACGGGTACGTACTAAGTTGAATAATATTATTTTAAAAAAAAAATTTTATTTTAAACACGAAAATACCGTAATTATAGGTAGTGGTAAGACTGCTTCATTCGTAATACCAATGCTTGTATATATATCCGACCTTCCGAGATTATCAGAAGAAAATATGTCAGATGGACCTTATGCTTTGATTTTGGCACCTACTCGTGAATTAGCGCAACAAATTGAACAAGAAACATTAAAATTTGCTGCTCCTATGGGTTTCAATTGTGTTTCTATTGTTGGTGGGGTAAGTAATTAAGACATTATTGTTTATTTTATTTTTAAAAGCAAAATTTATAAATCTAACATACAAAAATATTTTTATCAATATCTAGCACGCAGTAGAAGAACAAGCATTTAACTTGAGAAATGGTGCCGAAATTATTATCGCGACTCCTGGGCGTTTGAAAGATTGTTTGGACCGAAGAATATTGGTTCTCAATCAATGTACCTATGTAGTCATGGATGAAGTATGTATATTTGAAATATAAAAAATTTTAATCTTTCTTTCCGATTTTAAGTAAATTATAATATATTTTTTTAGGCTGACCGTATGATCGATATGGGTTTCGAAACAGATGTCAATGTAATTTTAGATGCATTACCCGTATCTAATGTTAAACCAGACACAGAAGAGGCTGAAAATCCTGCCGAAATGCTTAAGAAAATTGGCCAAAAAGAACGTTATAGACAAACTGTGATGTTTTCAGCTACTATGCCTCCTGCTGTAGAACGTTTAGCTAAAAGGTTCGTCAGAAATTATTATGTCATGGGAATTAATTGAAAATTAATTATCTTATGTAATATTATAGATATTTGAGACGACCTGCAGTTGTTACAATAGGAACAGCTGGTCAAGCCGTAGATACTGTTGAACAAAGGGTAGAAATGATAAATGATGAAGGAAGAAAGAAGTACGTATTTTTCATAATGATATTTACTGCAATTTTCTAAAAAATTTTCGTTTAGGAATTAAACGAACGTATTTAATATTTTATAGAGCAAGACTTCTAGAGCTTCTTCAAGGATCGTTTGACCCACCTATCATCATATTTGTTAATCAAAAGAAAGGATGTGATGTTCTTGCTAGAGCATTAAACAAGCTTGGGGTATTTAAATAACGTGGTTATCTTGAACCCTTTTTTATTAATAATGTTTTTTTTTTAAAAAAATATATTTTTTTTTATTAGTACCGTGCAACGACACTACACGGTGGTAAAACTCAGGAACAAAGGTTAGTAGTTATATCGAGAATATGTTTGTATTCTGTTATAATTAAGAAATTTAACTAATATTATTTTTAATTTCATAATACAGAGAAAGCGCATTGGCACATCTCAAAAATGGAACAATGGATATATTAGGTAATTAAAAGAAAGTTATTTATTAATTTGTTTGTTTGAAAAAGATTTGGTTACATAAATTTATTCTTTATATTCAGTGGCCACTGATGTAGCTGGCCGTGGTATAGATGTAAAGAATGTTTCGTTGGTTATCAATTATGATATGGCCAAGAATATTGAAGGTACTGTGAATTTATTATAAAGTGTTTAACATCATAGATGAGTATTAACTTTAATAAAAAATTTCTTCTTTTCTTTAAAGATTATACACATCGTATTGGTCGTACAGGGCGTGCTGGACAATCCGGTGTCTCGATTACATTCATGTCTAACGCGGATGCAGATGTCATGTATGTCATGTTTTCATATTTGTAATTATTAAAATATTTCGACTTTAAGCTAATATATATATATATATATTTGATATATATTTCAAAAGGTATGACCTTAAACAAATGATCATGAAATCGCCTATATCTCGTGTACCTGCCGAATTAGCATCCCATCCTTCAGCTATGGCCAAACCTGGTGCTTATATAGCAAAACGAAAACACGAAGAAACTATTTTTCAATAAATTTTAGCATAATAGTTTAGAATTTTATTTATATATTATGTTATTTTGTTTCATTTTATTTCATTTTTTTTTTTTGTAAAAATAATGAATATGTTTTTATAATATTTTTACTTAAATAGTGTTAAATGTATATTACTAGTTCTGAAAACAAGCAAACAATATATTATTTCCAATATTTTTTTACACTTTTATTATTAAGATTTGATTTTATTTTTTTACTTTAACATTTTTGTTTAGAACTTTACAAATAAATATTATTTAAAAGTTAATCTGACAGACTTTTTTGATTTATTAATTTTAACAGAATTTTTATTAATATTATTATTATTAAAAAAGATTAAGTTTAATAACAATTTTATATAACAATAAAATCATTTAGTTTAATATCAAATTTGTAAACATTTAAAGATTATAAATAAACTTAAAACTAAAGTCATAAAAAGATAAAAAAAAAATTTATTAAATTACAATATATAGTAATTAAATAAAAAAAAATTTTTTATTTAAAATCTTTTATCTTTTATTTATATAAAAAATATAAGTATTATAAAATCTTAAATTTAAGTACCTATTAAATTTAAGCACCTTCTATCACTTTTGCTATAATGTTTGTATAAATTAAAATTAAACACCTTTAAATTTAAGCATTCCAAATATAAAAATTTTGTTTAATCTAAAAACTAAAATGAAAAACAATCTACTGTAATTAAATTAAATTTGCATAAATTTTTCATTTTAAGTTAGAAATCTGAATCAATCTTTTTTTTTGTTACTTGTTAAAAAAAAATAATAAATAAAAAGGTAGGTATAAGACAGTATATATCATATTCACTTGAAAAAAAATCAATAATAGTTAAGTATGCTCAAGAATATGAAAAAAATGTTACAGCAAAGCATTTTAATTTAAATGCTTCAATAGTAGAAAGATAATTATAATAACGTATACTATTTATAATAATATTAGTATTAATCATCATTCAATGATAATCTGAAATTCCATTCGATCTGTTTTAAATATGGTTTCAAAAGATCTGCATGTGAAGTCAAAATGAAAATCCAAAAGTTGAAATGTTTCGACTTTGGAGGTCAAAGTTGAAATGAAAGTCGAAATGGTCAAAATTACATCATATCATATGATTTTTTATATATAAAAAAATAAAAAAACAAAAGATGTATGATTTCTGTCAATATCGCTCCAATTTGTATAAAACAACTACCATTCGATTTCCTGTAACTAGACGAATCTATTAAGCTAATATTCATTGATTTTGGATTAGCTTTTTTTTTTTAAAAGACGCAGTAATGTATTTATTTATTAAAAAATCATAATCAGTTTAAAAGAAAACATAAAAATCCTAGAAAAGAATACAAATGTAGAAAAATAAAAAATGCTACCTAATAATAATCATTAGTAAACTAACTCCAATCAGACCAACTGGTTGTCCTGTTAGGTTCTGGTAATAATCACTAGTAGAATTACCATCACTACCTAACTAAAGAAGAAAAAGTGTTTGACAAATAGTTATTATTATGTTAGGAAGAAGGACCATTTCTGTTCATGAACAAATGATTTAGCCATAAGGAAAGTATGATCATATTTAAATTCAGATAAAGATAATGATGAGTTTGAAAAACTGTTAATAGTAAAATTGTTTGAAGGACTATAATTTCATTTTTTGCTATATTTCGAGATGTTAAGTGATTATTCTTTTTCTATAGTAGCTGCGTATTTAGATTTTCAGATAACTTTGTAAAATTGATCAAAAATGTAATCATAAAATGGGAAAAGGATTTTATAAGTACAAGAGGAAGAGTTAGTAAAGGAGTTAAATAACTTAAGAAGAGTGGAAGGAACTATGCCTTTAATAATCTATGAAAGAAATGTTGTAAGGATCCTCTTTTAAAGGATGTGAGGGGAGTAACAATGAGTTAATGTCAGAAGGGTAGACTAATCGTGAAGTATGTATAAAGAGTTGATTTTTTAGAACATTAAGAACTACAGTGATGATTTGTTTCATCTTTTTTTTTTACTTTTGGATAAATCCATATGTAATTAAAGTGTTTTTTATCAGTATTGCAATGACAATACAACCATGTAGAGTTATAAATCGTAGGTTGAGTTGCTTTTATGAATTCTATAGTAAGAATTTATTCAAAAAGGAATTTAAGTCTTCTGCAGTGTATACAAGCCTCTTTAAAGGAGGTTTCAGTAAGAGTGCTGAGTTTAATAAAATTAAAAGTTAATGACCAATTGATTTGAAGTTAAAATCATGTGATATGATGTTATTTCGACTATTTCGACTTTTACCTCCAATAGTCAAAATGATTTTGACCATTTTGACCATTTCAGATATTTGAAATGATCTATTTCAACTTCATGTATAGTGGGATTCTTTTTAACTCATCCATATAAAATACAAAGTTTATGAGTACCAGGTTTTACAATATCATGAATGTAAAAAGGTCTATTAAATTTATCTTTAAATTTGTTTCTATGAATATGTGATTGTATCATGTTAAACAATAAAACTTTATCTTCAATTTGATAAGAAATTCCAGGTCAATTCTTATTGTAATGTTCCTGTTGCTATTATTGTCATTGTATTATATTCTGTTGTGTATCTAATTGTTATTGTTGCAATTATGATTAGATTATCTGTTAATTCTTTTCTATAGCATTTGATAAATTACTAATAGGAGATGGTTATCACAATAGTAAATCTATTAGTAGAACTGCTTTTTGTCTATATAATAATTCAAATGGTTCAAATTTCGTTGTTTCTTGCTGTGTTGTTTAATATGTAAAAAGTGCTGAAGTTAAATATGTATCCAATTCTTCATAGTCTTACTTTGCTAAAATTATACATAAAGTTCTATTAAAATGCTCTGTCAAGTCATTAGTCTAAAATAATATGATAAAGTAATCTATATTTAGTTGGTAATTAATTCACTTTAGAATGACGTTGCTTTATTGGTTAATATTTCTTTTAGTATTCTATGTTGACAAATGATTTCATTATACATATATTACGTGATAGTTTGAGCAATACAATCCAGTATAATGCTAATTTTAACCTATTTAGTTAAATATTCAGTTGCTACAATAATATACTGATTTTCTTTAATAATATGTGAAAGTGATCCTATATAATCTATTTCTACACGGTCAAATAGTTGTTCAACAGATATAGGATGTAAGGTTTCTTAGGTTTTAGCTTTCCTTATTGTTGACATATATCACATGGTTATATCCAATTTTCAATAGTTTTGTACATGCTTGGCCAATAATATCAAAAGGTAATTTTATTATATATAATATCCTGTGTTAAATATCCTTCTAAAGGTTCATTATAAATATTATGTAGAATATGTTCGACTTTATTTGATTTTACTACAAGTAATAGTTAAGAAAAATGTTTGTGATTATGTTTATAAAGTTGTTGATTTTGTACGAAGTAATGTTATGCTTATTTTTGAATTGTGAGTTGTTATGAAGAAGTAAAGTTTAGAGGATATGTAAGTTGAGTAAAGTATGAAATAATTAATGGTAAGTTTTGAATTTCACGTTGTTAAGCTGCTAGTCATACTGCTAGCACTTTTACTTTTACTCTAAAAATTCTAATAACTAATAGGTTTACTATAAGAAAAGTCAAGATAATGTGTTAATATTTAAGTATAATTTTCCTTTTTTATATTGAATTTGATAAAGGAATTCCATTATGCGAATAATCCATCTCATAAATTTGCAGGGTGGATCCAATTTATTAAAAAGCTATTGTAAGGTTGTATAATCAGTAATCAATTTAAACTGTTGATATAACAAGTAAGATCAAAAATGTTCTATTCTCTATACAACAACAAGACATTCTAATTCAGTTGAAACATAGTTCCGTTCAGCACTACTTATACTTTAGCTAGCATAAGCTATAACATATTCCTTATTATAATCATCCAATTGTGCTAATACTACTCCAAGTCCAATATATAATCTATCAGTAAATAGCAAGAACTTTTGCTTAAAATCAGGATATATTAGAACTGATGTAATAATTAAACAAATTTTCAAGTATTCAAATGCTTTCTACTATAATTCAGTCCAGATATAAGACACATTCTTTCGCAATAATAAATGTAAAGATGTAGCTAATATAAAGAAGTTCTGAATAAATCTCCTATAATAAGACGTAAGGTCTAAAAATCCTCAAAGCTCAATAATATTTCTTGAAATAGGAAAATTCTTGATTTTGTCAATTTTGAAAGGGTCAGGAAAGATTTCTTACCCACTAATAATATGTCCTAAAAATGTTAATTCTAACTTAGTAAAGTCACATTTATTCTTTTCAAGTTTTAGTTTAACATCTCTTAATCTTTTAAAAATTAACTGCAAATGTTATAAGTATTCTTTGAAGGTAATTGAGAAGATGATTATATTGTCAAAGTATACAGCTATAAATCATCCAATTTCTTTTCTAAAGATTTTGTTCATAAGACATTAGAAGGTCACAGAGGCATTTGTTAATCCAAATGGCATGACTTTAAATTTATAAAGTTCTTGTCTAGTTATGAAGGCTGTTTTGGCCTGATCATTTGGATTCATAATAACCTGCTAATATTTGTTCATTAAATTTAATATTGAGAAATACTTTGCTTTTCCAAATATGTTGAACAATTCATCAATGCAAGGTAAAGAATATCCATTCTGTTAAGTAATATTATTTAGTTTTTTATAATTGATGCAAATCAAAGCTTTCCATTCTTTTTCCTTATTAGAATAACTGGTGAGGTCTAGAGGCTCTCAAAACATTGAATCAAATTATATTCTAACATTCTATTAACTTCATCTTTAATAAATTCTTGTTCCAATAAAGCTACACAATATGTACGCTATCATATTAGCATAGGATTCTCTACTGGAATGTGATAATTTTTATAGTGATGTGTCCTAATTGAGATATGTCATTGGCTAATGCATTTTCATTTTTATTAAGGAATCTGATGAT